AAATTCCAAACCTGCCCCTCTCTGAAAGGGCTGGAGAGGAGTCACCAGAACAGGCCAACAAAATAAGGAAACAGCTATGTGGGTGGGTATTTAAAAAGTGAAAGGTTTGCCTTGAGACTATGACTTTCAAAAATCCAATGTGAGGAAGAGGAAAGAAAATATAATATTTGGCAAGAACTTTCTAGGTCATTGTTGTGAAAGTGTATTGTGTAATTTCTGTGTTGTGGGTTCTGTAGTTCACACTACTTTAATGGTTGAGTTGGTCATTGGGGTAGACATTTTCTGAAAAGTCTGATGAAGTAAAGAATAAATCGGAGATCTCTTTGTCACTAGGGTAAATAGAAGCTTTATTGTCCAACTGGGGACACTTTTTGAAAGTGAATGGGGACAGTATTAATAACTACCCTGACACAATAGGCATGAGCTGGTTCAGATCTGGTACCACGAGAACTAACTATGGGTATTCTCATTTAATAAAGCCAAGCACATGGTGCAAGACAGGGGAGGTCTGGAGTGTGCTATCTGGAAACCCAAACAGCAAGAAGGAGAAGAAATCTGACAAGAAAAAAAAAGACAAGGAAAAGAAGAAGAAATCAAAAAGGGCCTCAACTGAAGACCGTAACTTGCCATCCCAGAAGAAAAAGAAAAAAAGACTCTGGCAGTGGGGCAGACCATCTGAGGGGCACAGAGGGGCACAAGATGGCTTAGAACTGAATTTTAACTTCTCCTTCATCCCTAGAAGAAACCAGACTGCCCGCAGCCCAGTGTGCTGGCTGGGCCAGTGAGCTCTGTGGGGAAGCTGGCTGGGGAGGAAGTATGCCAGCATGGGAGGCCTCCCTTCTCATCTCCCAGCCCCACAAGGCATCTCTGCAGACATAGGACACTTATAGATATATGTGTACAGTATATCTCTCTCTATATATATATTTTTTTAACTGACCTGCCCTCCCAGCTCAGGCCCAACATGCCCAAAGGCCTTGGGACTTCCCAGTACTTTGCTCTGCAGACCCAGGAGGCCTGTGACCCAGCCCAAGCCACTGCTCTCCAGCTGATGCTGAGGCTGCATCCTCTTTTTGTCAGCTTCTCCCAGTCTTTGTTGTTGTTTGTTTTAAAACCTCAGAAAATAAAAGGTTTGAAGGAAAGGTGCAAGTTTCAGTGAATCTGGGACAAAACAACAACAAAAACCTAGAGATGCTATCTGGAAAAAACTCAGATGTGAAGAAGAAGCTCAGAAGTGGGGTGCACAGAGAAACACCACCTTGGAGAAGAGGTATGATTTAAAGCTAGAAGTTCATAATATAGCATGCCAGGTCCTCCACATTTCCAATTTGCCTTGCCCCATTCCTACCCTTGTCATCTGTCAACCACAGTGGGCTTCAGTTTGTTGCTTTAGGCTCATATGGGTTCTCTCTCTGAAATGAGCCTTCATACAGGCTGTCTCCTCTGTCTGGAACATTGTATCTGCCTATTTGTGTCTCATACTTAGGACATATTGTCAAGAAGGTCCAGTCGCTGGAGAAGGATATCATGTTCGGTAGCGTGGAGGGTCAGAGAAAAAGAGGAAGACCTCCAGCAAGATGGATTGGCCAAGTGGCAGCATTGATGGACTCAAGTGTGGCAACAGTAGTGAGGTTGGCCCAGGACCTGGTAGTGTTTCATTCTGCTGTGCATAATAAGGTCACTATGAGTCGGTACCGACTCGAAGGCACCTAACAACAATAACAACATTGACCCTGAGTGGTGTCCTGGTGTGGTGCTGTGGGTTAATGCTTTGGACTGCAAAGTCACTTTGAACTGCAAGGTCAGTGGTTCAAGCTTATCAGCTGCTCTTTGGAAACCCTATACAGGGTCGCTATGGGTCAGAACCGATTCGACAGCACTTAACATCAACAACATTGACCCTGAGTGAAACTCAAGGAATCAGACTCCCAATTCCTTCTCTATTTCCCTTCTCAAGGCTTTTTCCAGTTATTATTTTTTTATTCCTTAGTCTTCCCCTGTGAGCTCAGTGAGAACAAAGAACTTACCTAATTTCCTCAATGTTCTTTTCACACTTGGGTTTGGCATATAGTTGGTACTCAACCAGTATTTACTGAGTGATAAATTAAGACACAGTTAATGAAATAAGCAATCTTTTTGCAGGTAACTAAGTCTCCAAGAAAAATTTCAGGTCATGAAACGGCTAATTAAAAGCTGAGAAAATTTAAAAGGCAGGGATGTGGCTTTATGCCAAGTGTTTTTTCCTGAATGAGTCTTTCATTTTAAGTACAGTTGTTTCTAGTAAACACGAGTCATTAATGAGTGGAAAAACCTGAAGACTCTTGTGGGGATGTGACTCAATATTGACCTCTAGTGGCTAAAATCAAGATTATAACAGTTCTACAGAAAAGCGTAGGAGCTCTGGTAGCGTAGTGGTTACGAATCGGGCTGCGAACCTTAAGGTCAGCGGTTCGAAACTACCAGCCGCTCCGCGGGAGAAAGATGAGGCTTTCTACTCCCGTAAGGATTTACACCCTCGGAAACCCTGTACAGGGTCGCTATGGGTCGGAACCGACTCGAAGGCACTTAACAACAACAACAACACAGAAAAGCGTAGTGGTTACGAGCTGTGAACCTTAAGATCAGCAGTTCGAAACTACCAGCTGCTCCATGGGAGAAAGATGAGGCTTTCTGCTCCCGTAGAAATTTATAGCCTCGAAAACCCTGTACAGGGTCGCTACTGAGTCGGTTCCAACTCCACAGCACATAACTACCAACAACACAGAAAACATGCTCCGTGACACTAGCAATTACTGAATGAAATGAAAACCGAAAGTTTTCCAGTTTTGCCAGGGAAACCATTTCTTTCTCTCACTGTAAGATAGCCCACTGTCAAACTTTTGCCTGGATTAAACGTGTCATTCTGCGACCCAGGAACACAGCAGAGCTTCTATGATAGCTTTTTGTTTTACACCAAGTCTGACTACCAATCTCTTCATTTCCTCTTTTTCCTAAATAAGATGTCTAGCCTCCTGGTATTTTTTATCAAAATTTCAAGGTTGAAGGCTACTAGAAACTCCTGAGCTAGAGGTGCATGAGCACTGGTCTGCTAACTGTAAGATCAGCAGTTCAAATCCACCATTTGCTCCTAGGAAATCCTATACAGTGTTGCTAACAGTGGGAACTGACTTGAGGACATTTAACAACAGCAGCAGCTAGTCAAAGGAGACATATTACATGTGTGATGAGGAAAGAAAAGTTGGGACCAAAGAAGGGATGCATTAAAGTAAGGGTAGGTGTGAATCCGGGGTATGAATACACAAATTACTTTCCTTGAAAACAAGCCAGATGAAGCAATTTAATATTATTTGCACTGCACCTCTTATTCGTACACAATAGGGCGCTCAGAAATCCTGGAATGAGCATGGTGTGTACACTTGGTTCTGGGGAGATACTGTGAGCTGCCTTTGCTTCACATACCATCTTGTTATCATTTTTTAATTCCCAGCTTTTAAGGATAATATCATCCACCTACTGAATTTATTCAGGAGCTCTGGTAGCATAGTGGTTATGAATCAGGCTGCTAATCTCACGGTTAGCAGTTCAAAACTACCAGCTGTTCGCAGGAGAAAGATGAGGCTTTCTGCTCCCATAAAGATTTACAGCCTCGAAAACCCTGTACAGGATCGCTATGAGTTGGAACCAACTCTACGGCACATAACAACAACAACAACTGGATTTATTCAAGTCCTTATAAGGTCTTTAGGTGTCCTGGTGTGGTTGTGGGTTAATGCGCTGGATTGCAATGTTGGTTTGAACTGTGAGTTCGGTGGTTCAAGCTCACCATCTGCTCCCTGGACACCCTATGCAGGGTGGCTATGGGTCGGAAGTGACTGGACAGCACTTAACAACAACATAAAGTCTTTAATGATCTCATACTGTCTTTTCTGTGTCTAGGTTGATGCTCTGGAAAGAAAATCTTTGGAACCTAAAGACTTGCCTTTACAAAAAGCAAGCTCCAAAAGAGAAGTAGGTGGTACGGAACAGAGCAAGAGGTAGACCTGTGGGTGTTTTATCCTGAGCAGAGGGCAGCAGGCGGACACTGTGAGGGCTTGGGCAGCAGGCAGACACTGCGAGGGCCTGTAGCTCTCTACCTAGTCTGTTCAGGAGTGAGGCTGACAAGGAAGAACACACACAAATGGAAAAGTAAAACAAATCCATGTTCCTAATATTTTCTCCTGAGGAATAGCTACCATGACTTTCTGTCTCCTCCAGAGATAGTATCTTGAATGATACTAAAGGAGTAGAGCCTGGCTGAGTAGAGATCATTCCTCTGAACCGTGTAACTGTCCAAGTAAGAACGTGATTGTTATCTGCACAAACTGATACCAGATGCTTCTCTGACAGCATGATTTTTGTAACAGGACTTCGGTGGACCATGAATGTCTGGAAAAGTTGAGGGCCGGACCCAACTGTCTCTGGGTGCTGGACAATCACTCGGACTGCTCCAGAGCTCGTACCATAGGCAATCTCAATCCAGTTACTGCTGACACTTGTTTTAAGTGTGAGGTACACACTCAGAGCAGTAATAGCATCATTTGAGGGATCCTGATAAAGTTCAGTTACAAGAAGATCATTAACCTTCATTTGTAATGGGAACTTCTGCATATCTATGTAATATATTGATCTATTGTTACATCCCAGTAGAAGGAATGACCCAGCAGTGTCATAACTAGTTATAGGAACAACATCTTGAACCTGCCAGTGTTGAGTGACAGCACTCCACACTCCTACTTTCCCTGTATGACTTGTGGCCACCAACTGGTTACCAATAAAGAAAAGGGCATCCACAGGAACGCCAAGGCTGAACACTCCTATTTCACTTCCGCTTCCCCCATCTTGCACACTCCACAGGATGATGCTACTCTCGGCGGCAACAGCAACCATTTTATCTTTGTCTCCATGTGGACCTCCAACCACTTTAGCATTTAAAGCTACTCGTTCAATGGTCCAATCCAAATATGGGCGTGTAAACACTTGTTGCCATCCTGAAGATTCTTTGATTCTGTAACACACAGCAAAATGGGCATACGCAGCTACAATCCAGTTGTGATGGCCAGCTACTATTAGCACCTTTCGTGGATCCACAGGAAATCCTAGCCTAACAGTCTCTTCTCCAGTTCCCGAGAGAATCGGCTGGGTTCCATGTCCCCGGGCTTCATCTTCTGCATCTCTGGAGGAGACAGAAAGTCATGGTAGCTATTCCTCTGGAAATGTCATAGGCCGTTTTGGAGAACGAGATGATCAACAGGTATTTATCCAGAAAGTTGTTCCCATTACTAACGAACTGTTTGTCAGACTCTCATCTACTGGAAAAAGAATATGTGAGATCCAAGCTGTTGACTGGACTACAATCTCCTCGTGTACGGTCAGAGAGTGTGAGGGATCCAGTAGAATGGGTTCTAGACCATGGTGCTATTTGTTCACAGGCCATATGAATAGCAGCATTCAAATGTGGGATCTGACCATGGCTATGGACATGGTTAACAAAAGTGAAGATAAAGATGTAGGTGGTCCAACTGAGGAAGAGCTACTGAAATTACTGGATCAGTGTGATCTGAGCAGCTCGCACTGTGCTACTCCTAACATCAGTCCAACAACGTCTGTGGCTCAGCATATTCGGCTGCGGGAATCAAATTCTAGCCTTCAGCTTCAGCACCATGACACTATCCACGAAGCAGCTATGTATGGTTCCGTGAGGTCTTACAGGGAGAGTCCTTTGTTAGCTAGGGCCAGGAGAACTGAGAGCTTTCACAGCTATAGGGACTTCCACACTATGAATTCCAACAGAAATGTAGAGCGAACTGTCCCTGAACATGGTAACTTGGGTCCAATACAAGCGGAAATGAAGCGGGCAACAGGGGAATGTAATCTCTCTGAGAGAAAATCTCCTGGAGCAGAAATAAAAAGTTTGAGAGAAGCAGATAGTGGATTGGAAGCTCAAAAAATAGCTGAAGTTTTTTCAGAATCCAAGAAAAGGTCATCAGCAGATGAAAATGAAAATAGAGTTAAGGAAGAAAGGAGGATTTGAAGGGGGAGGATTCCTGGGAAGAAAGAAAGTCCCCTATCTGGCATCATCACCAAGTACTTCTAATGGAGGGACTGATTCACCTGGTACTACGTCCCTGTCTCCTACAAAGACCACTCCATCTCTGCGACATAAAAAAAGTGATTCTTCAGGTCAAGAGTATAGCTTGTGAAAACTCACCAAAATGAATGGTAGTCTTGCTAAATTTAGATGAAAGTTGAACTTTGTTAGCTTTCAAATAAATTAGTTTTTACATCAAAACTTTCCAAGTCAAAGTTGGACTTCATTTAATATCTTTATAACAGAGTTACCAGGAGTAAAGGAGCTAAAAGAACTTCTTGATGTTTTTGGAATTTTTGTTTGTTTTTTAGTTTACCTTTCTATTTACCAGAATAATTTGTAAAGCAGCAGTCTTGCCACATTTAGCTGCTATTTGTTGGTTGTGGAAACAGAAGTAACCATGTTGCAAGAGGGGATGATCCCACATAAATGCATGAACATCCTTAAGTGAATCGCATAATTTCTCCTTAGAAATTGTTTTCCCAACCCTTACTGTGTGTGCAAAGCGTTTACCAGATATTTGAGGTGCTATGTTTGTGGGCCTGGGGGGCTGGAAATTATATAATTCAAAAACACTACTGATGTTGAATGCCAGATTCCACTGTCTTTTAGGATCTTTTTTTTTTTTTTCCCCCTAATGTAGGTCATTTTTTTATTCTCATTGTTGGAGTTCTTAGTCCTAGCAAGCATCACCAATATTAAATAACAGAAGTCCATTTAAACTGTCTTCTTTGTTGATCAGTTGAGTGCTTGAACTGATGAAGTAAAATAATCAAGGGTAAAGCTTTTAGTGTCTAGAATGGAAGGCTATACCAGTTTTATCTGCCATATATAGAGAGGGAGGGGGGAAAGGGAGGAGGGAAAGGGATCTGGTAGCGTAGTGGTTACGAATCGGGCTGTGAACCGCAAGGTCAGCAGTTCGAAACTACCAGCTGTTCCGCGGGAGAAAGATGAGGCGTTCTGCTCCCGTAAAGATTTGCAGCCTCGGAAACCCTGTATAGGGTCGCTATGAGTTGGAACCGACTCCACGGCACATAACAACAACAACAACAACAATATTTTCTCCTAGGTTCTCCCAGCAGCAGCTATTTTTTAGCAATGTGAGCGAACCCCGCTTTCTATCAATGGTAAAACAGCTATTCTCCGATCAGACCAGAGTGGATCGGTTACTTTTGAGTACTCTACTAAAAGTTCAAAGCATCCCTAAACGTCTGAGATTCAGACGCATATATTAAACCGATGGCAAACATGCTCACATCTCAGTTAAAAAGAATTCTACGGGCTGCCATCTATATGAGTATGTTGAAACGGAAGCCGTAATGTTTGCATTTAATAGGGTTACTACCTCAGGCACTCTCTCTTTCATCTTCTTTTTAATATTTGCCAGCAGTCAATTCCAGGAACTCTATTTTGTTGCTGACTTCTACTGAAAATGGAAACCGGGTTATAAAGGCAGCCAATCGAGTGGAATCGACTGAGACAAACCGACAGACCAGAAGCCATGCATGTGCAGGGAACCTTGTAAACACGTAAGGGGCTTAGTACCAGGCTTGTGGGCCTGGGGTCTTCTGGGATACCTACCATTTCCTTGAATGCACTTTCAAGAGCCCCGATAACTAGGCACTCGTGTGGAATCTTCTTCTCGGTGAAGAAGCGGGTGGGTGGGGTACTGGGGGAGCCCGGGGTTCCCACCCCTCCGCGGAGCGAGGCCGCGCGTGTCAGAGTCCGGCTGTTGGCGGGTGTGTTCTCGGGCTCCTCCCCGAGGCAGGTCGGGGGAAGTACGGCGGAGTTCTTCAGAATCTCCACGATGTCCTGCAGCTGCTCTGTGATGTGGTACTGCAGCAGTCGGGATGCGACCACGGCGGCCCCCGACCCCGCGTGGCCATCAAACAGCGACCAGTAGTGGCAGGAAACGCCTTCTGATTCCTGGTGAGAGAAAGTGACAAGGCGCAGTGAGAACCCATCAGGATCTCTGCTGACACTGCGCCGCCTGCTGGCGGTCAGAGCATCCGCTTGGCTGTCTTTGGCCTGCCAACAGTGGGGTCATTATGTGTTAAAATACCCAAACCAAGTAACCAAACTCAGTACCATCAGGTCGATTTTGACTTCTTGTTGTTGTTAAGTAGCGTCGAGTCAGTTACCACTCATAGCGACCCTGTGTATAGGGTTTTCAAGGAGCATCCGGTGCGTTTAAACCACTAACCTTAGCAATCCAGTGCTCATCCTAAAATGCCAGGCCAGGATTCCTGACTCATATCGACTGTGGATAGGATGCTGAGGTTCTACATCTTTACTAAAGCAAACAGCCTCATCTTTCTCCAGCATAGCTTGAATCACTGATCTTGTGGTTAACAGTCTGGAGCTTAATCTACAGCACCATCATAAATGCCCAGAGCCCCGGACATGAAGAGATTTGTTCCCACCACACAAAGGATAAAGTGGTCTTGAGTGCTCCATTGGAGACAGAGTCCAGATTACCCTTCATTCATTCTACCATTTGAAGTACAAGACCTCCTTTAATTTGATGTGTAGAATTTTGAGGTCAAATTTCCCACAAAAAGACAAGACCCAAAGAATCCAGGTTTAAAATCTAACTTCTCCACTCTGTTCTATATCAACCCTGGAGTAGGTTTGGCTTGAAGTCTTGAGAGAAAATTAGACAATTTTTTTTCCCCCGTAGGTTCTCCAGAGGGAAATAAGCACAACTATAAGGAGCTAAGGAGCTCTGGTAGCGTAGTGGTTACAAATTGGGTTGTTAACCTCAGGGTCAGCAGTTTGAAACTACCAGCTGTTCCGCAGGAGAAAGATGAGGCGTTCTGCTCCCGTAAAGATTTACAGCCTCAGAAACCCTGTACAGGGTCACTAGGAGTCGTAACCGTGACTCCACGGTACTTAACAACAAGTTGATTTCTAGACTATCTCAAGATTAACCAAAACTAGTTACTGTTGAGTTGACTTTGACTCCGAGTGACCCCTTGTGTGTCAGAGAACAACTGTGTCCTCTAAGGTTTCTATGGCTGATTTTTCAGAAGCAGATTGCCAGATCTTTCCTCCAAGGCACTCTGAGTAGACTCACACCCCAATTGTTTTGGTTAGCAGTGAAGAGTCTTGTTTGTGTCACCCAGCACCCAGGGATTCCATCTCAAGATGAACATGTTTAAACACCAAGTTTAAATTACATATGCATAAGGTCTTGGCTATAAATGAAAAGGAGCTTTATTTTGATATAATTGGAGGGATAAGATATTAAATACTGAAATTAAGTAAGCATTTGATAGTTATTTTTAAAAAAAAAACTGAAAAAAAAAATAGGTATGGCGCATACAACATCTACTTTTGACTACTAGATGTATCTACTCCTACAACATAAACTATTGAAATGTTTTTAGCTGAAATAATGGAAGAAAGTTCTTTTGGCTCCACTCAGAATGATTCTGGAAGATACTGTGCCATTGTGGTAAGATATGCCACTACTCTGTTCGTGATCTTTAAAACTTCAGTGTTACTCAATTTTGTGCTAAATGCTGGGAGATAAATTAGTTGTTTCTTAGTCAACAAATATTTTGTATGGATTGGAATTAAAAGAGCAGTCAACAGAGATATCAGACATGGTCCAATATTAGTAATCCAGAATGTGTGATGGAAATATACATTAATCAAATAACCACACAAATAAATGTAAGATTTTACGGCTCGCCAGTGCTACCATGAGAGGTTCTTGGTGCTGTGAGGCCAGTCTTCCGAAAGGCACTCCAGAAGAAGATTTCTGAGGATGCAAGGATTAAGATGAGGACTGGAGGGGTGTGGAAGTTCACTAGACAAGAGGGAAACGAAGATAATATCCATGTGGATTTCACCACATGGACTACAAAGGTGAATGAAAAATATTACTATGAGAGTTCAAATTCATACATGCATGGGTTTATTCCAAACTAAATGTGCTGAAACATGTCTCTGTGCCTGGTTGTAGATGTTTTCTGTCAGTAATACACTTGTCTCATCAAGGGACCTTCTTAAAAAGGGTTCAATTAAACCAGTGGCCAATTCCATCAGAGTTCCACTCAGAAGGTTATGGCAATTATGTTTCTGGATTCTGGAGGGGTAACCTTGCTAGATTTTCTCAAAGGACACGGGACAGGCATTGCAGGCTTACTATGAAAAAGTTTTAAGGAAATTGAAAAATTGAGAGAAAGGCCAGGAAAGTTGCACCAAGAAAAACTTTTTGCATCATGACAATGCACCTGCTCATTCTTCAAAGGTAGCAGGGACTGTCCAATGTAGATTTCCTTGGGAAAACTTACCCCATTCAGAATTCTTTTAGTTCCCTAAGCTCAAAAGACAGGGAGAAATTATGTGAGTTGAGTCACTTGATGATGCCACAATTTCTGTTTTAACGGAGTGTAAATTGAAGACCGAAGTCCTGGTGTGGCACTAAGGGTTAATGCGCTGGACTGCAAAGTCAGTTTGAACCACAAGGTTGGCGGTTCAAACTTACCAGCTGGTCCTTGAAAACTCTATCAAGGGTCGCTATGGGTTAGAACCGACTTGATGACACTTAACAACAACCACCACAACAAATCAAAGAACACAGAATTCTTTGGAGAAGTGTTAGAGAGATAGAAACACCTTTAGAAGTGCATAGACCTACAGGGAAGGTATGACAAGAAGCAACAGCTTCACATGGTGCTATTTTTGTCAAATAAAGGTTTCTAAGATTTTGTAGTGATACTTGTTGACTTCTCCTTGAACACAGGAGTCAGACTGACTACAGGCATGCCCTACTTTTCGAAAGTTTGCTTTGTGACACTTAGCTTTTATGAACTCACACCTACTGCCATTGAGCCGACTCTGATTTACAGCAACACTGTATAGGATTTCCAGGTTGTAAATCTTTATGGAAGCAGAAAGGCTCATCTTTCTCCCATGGAGCAGCTGGTGGGTTTGAACCACCAAACTTGCAGTTAGCAGTCCAGTGCTTATCCTACAGTACCGCCAGGGCTCCTTGCTTTTTAAGAAAGACTTACATTAATTCCTGTTTTCACTAACCAAAAGAAATCCAAAGAGGATATTTACTTTTTTAAAAAAAGAAAAGAAAGACAAAAGCACACGTAG